CAGTCAAATGCCTTTGCATAATCAATGAAACACAGATAGACATTCTTCTGGTATTCTCTGCTTTCAGCCAAGATCCATCTAACATCAGCAACTACATCCTTAATAAACCCCATTATCAATACCAGGACTGTGAGTCAACAATGACTAAACAAACCTCTTGCTGTTGGTGTGTCTCTAGATATACCCTAGAACTGGACTACAGCTTCTTATCTGTTTTCTGCTCTGGGGCAGTGAGGAGTTGGCTATTCTTATTCCCTCTGGCTCTTTCAGAGAGAAGCTCACACTTGTGCCTCCATATCCTATAGTCTCCTCTCCAGACACCTTGTTATATGCCATTGAGTCAGAACCAACTCATAGGTGACCCTTCAGCAGGTTTTTAGTGGTTATAAGTTGATGAGATTCCTCGTCTTTCTCTTTTGAAGCAGTTAGTAAATTTGAACTGCCTGCCTTTGGTTTGGAAGCACAACTCCTTACTCACTAGGCCACATATGATAAAAATCTTGGTTTCTATGGAAATTAGCTCACAGAGCCAAATTTCCCAAAGTGGGCAAGCTTCTTCTGTAGTGTGCTCAGATGATCTCCTTGTTAACACTTGCCCACTGTTACATGCTGAAATGAGATTCAAACTCAGAGACATGGCCTGCTGGCCATGCACTTAATTACCATAATCCCTACTCTGTGAACCAGTTATGAAACTCTGTTTTCCTCCATAAATGAATGTGATATCATTCTCCCATGAATAGGCTAGTTCCTGAAACCCTACCTCCTCTCTTAGTTTTAAAAATTCTACTTTCTTGTTTGTTAAGAGATGTGCTCATAGCAGAGATCCCTCATATCTTCCCTTTTGCAAAGGCCCTCTCTCTTTAATAAATTTCTCACTGGCATGGAATGTACTGGTCTCTCACTTTGTCATTCCTGCTAATGGGTGAAAGAACCTGAAATTTGGAAAACAGTTGTCTAGCTACATTACTGAATAAAGTCTCTAAACTATTCATTTGAGATCTGAGTGTATTTTTTCCTTATGCCAAAACAAACAGTATTTCAACTTTCATTCCATTTGCAGTATTGTTGTTGTTCTTACGTGTCATTGAGTTGCATTTGACTCATGGTGACCCTATGAAAAACATAAACAACAGATCTGAACCCCTTCCTGAGTCACCCTTACTGTTTCTGATATGATCAATCCCGACGTTAGAGTTACTGTAACACAGAGCCAAAACCATCATGTTGAAGGTCTTCCCCTCTTTCTCTGATCCACCACCTTTTCCAGCATGATGTGTTTTTTCAAGGATTGGCCCCTCTTGACAATATGTCCAAAGTTTGTGAGACAAAGTTTCACCATCTATGTCTATAAAGAGCACTGTGGATGCACTTTTCCCAAGCCAGGCTTTTTGTTCTTTTGGAAGTTAATGAGATAGTCAATACTCTTCTCCAACACCACACTCCATAGGCAAGGTATCACTTCTTTCATCTTATTCGTTATCCAACTTTAAGTTGTATAGAAAGTAACTTAACAAACCACAACTTGGATAAAGTATGTCTTAGTCTTAGTCTTCAAACTGACATCCTTGTTTTTTAACTTTTTAGAGAGGTTCACATTTTACCAATACGTGTGTTTTGATTTCTTGACTGCTGTAACCAAAGGTGTTGATCATAGATCCAAGTAAAATGCAGTAGTTGACACTTAAATCTTTCTCTATCATGATATTCCCTATTGGTCCAGTGATGAGGATTTTTGTTTTGTTGACAATGAGATAAAACTATATTGAAGGCTGTAGTCTTTGCTCTTCTGATACAAGTGTCTCAAAGTCCTCTTTAGTTTTTGCAAGTAACTTTGTGTCATCGGCCTACGGCAGACTGTTGATGAGTCATCTTACAGTCATTTTCTCCCCCTTGGTGTGTACTGTAGAGTCGTATCCAACTGGCACAGGCAGAGATTGCCTCACAATCTACAGCTCATCCTACAATCTTGATGCCGTTTCAGTGGGTGCCACCTATCATTTGAAAAAAGTGGGGACTTGATTTCTGTGATTTGACTGTATGCATTCATTACATGTTCTAAAAATGTATACAAATTAATTACTGAATGTTGAAAGTATCTAGAAACTAAAGTGTAGAGACCACATTTTTTAAAATGCATCCTTAATAATTTGAAATAGTCCTGGCCTGGCATGTGCTATGAGGGCAGCCATGTGTTCCAGTTTCTTCTAGTGGGGACTTGGCTATTCCTAATTAAAGTGTTATTTTGGTCTTTTCTTGTATGATGGATTTCCCCTAACAATTTTGATTCCTTTCTCCTTTATAAATACTAATGATCTTTTAAATGTCAACACCACCTTTCCTTGCTGTTCACCTAAAAGAGAAAAAAAAAATTCTAATCTGTGTTAAACAGTCTCCATTTATTCATTGTCTTACTTTCAAAGCCTAATTCATTTCTGTAGTCTTCTCTTTTAGTATTAAGACTTTCCTTTACCTTCTGCTTAAAATAGCCTAGGTCGGTAATTTGTACCTTAAACTGTCTTATGCTTAGGCTCCTATTTTAATTTTTTTACTAGTGAAGGATTATATCACAAAACAAAGCATTGAATATTGAATATTATCGTTGATGGTTTGTTGACAAACTTTGATGCTATATTTAATACTGTACTACCTTTATGGATTATTTACCACTGATACTTCTACCTCTAAGAAAAACCTTTTCTGTTTTAATGGATTATGGTTTTCAATAGATAAGTCCTAAAGGTCCCAAACTTAAATGAGAAAAGAACTATAAAATAGTAGGTGAAACATCTCCCATTTTTCTCACATCTCCAACTCCTGTTTGAGTTAAACTAGTGCTTTTTTGTTTTGTTTTGTTTTTTTTCCTTTTTAGGTGACATTGAAGCTGCTTATAGTAACCTGCAGCATTGCCTAGAACACAATTCCTCTTACGCAGATGCTCATCTCCTCATGGCTCAGGTTTATTTATCTCAAGAGAAGTTCAAATTGTGTTCTCAGTCTCTTGAACTTTGTCTGAGTTATAATTTTAAGGTGAGTTCTCCAGAATCTTATTTCTGCTGATGTGATGCCAACTCATAGTGACCCTTTCTGACAGAGGACAGCTGCTCCATAGGTTTTTCAAGGCTACTCATCAACACAAAAGCAGACTGCCCCAGCTTTCTCCCAAGGAGCAGCTGGTTGGTTCAAACTGCCAACATTTTGATTGGCAACTGGGCACTTCAGCAAAATACCATCAGAGCTCTTTAACAACTTGTTATATGCATTTATCACACCCTTGGCTGTGGAAAACAAAAAAGACTTGGAGTACGTATTGAAGAAGCTCAAAGACTATAGCCTTCAATATGGATTACATCTCAATATAAAGAAAATAAAAATCTTCACAACTAGACTAGCAAGCAACTTCATGATAAGTAGAGAAAGATTAAAATTGTCAAAAATTTCTTTATACTTGAATCTATAATCAACACCAGTGGAAGCAGCAGTCAAGAAACCAAAGAAATTATTGCAATATGTAAATCTACTGCCAAGGACCTCTTTAAAGAGCAAAGATAATACTTTAAAGCTTAGCATACATTTTACCCAAACCATGGTATTTTCATTTCCATCATAAAGTTGGGCAGTTAGGAAGCTCAAAGAATAATTAATCCCTTTAAATTATATTGTAAGTGAAGAATATTAAGTGCACCATGTGTTTACCAGAAGAAAAAGCAAATCTGTCTCGGAAGAAGCGCAGCTAGAGTGGTCCTCTGTACGATGAGGCTTTATCTCATACTTTGCATAGAGAACTCGGGTGGCTTAGTGATAAGGAATTGAACTGCCAGTGCAGAGGTACATGGTTTAAATCCACCAGCTGCTCTGAGAAAGATTAAGTCTTCTTTTATGTGATTTACTCCATCTGAAAACCCACTGGAGGGTCAGCTATGAGTTGGTTCTGACTCTGTGACACACAACAACATTTTCAGTGAAATGGTTTGACGTAGCAACTGCAACATTATAGCTTAAGATTGTGAGGATAGCACCTTCCCTGACTTGTTAGTGTTTACATATTCAGTCTATGAATGGAGTAAGTATAAAAGGAAGATGACTGAATCCTCCTCTCCTATCTTCCACAAAGGGGAACTGCTCCTGTCAACAATATCCACAACATAAAACTGATCCCTATAAGGACAGACATGGCCGCACTCTATTGCATCTTCTTCTACTAATTACTATGGCCAAAATTCCTTGGCAAATGACCATACCGACTTTATATAAGACCTCTTTCCCCACACATTTGTGGGTTTGGGAGGTGGGAAACAAAGGATATAATGCCCTAAGAGAAAGCCCAGGTTCAGTAAATAACAGTCTCAAGCCAGCTCTTCCCCTAGTCTTACAGCAAGAGGAACCTCTGACTCTTGCTTCATTGCAAGTCCTCTGTGCTTAGCTCCATCTGACTCTTTATCAGGCTATGCCTTGCCACAGTCTCTACAGTCTATTTAGCCCCCTGTCTTAAGTTGGCCTTGCAGCGGTTCATTTTGAAGATGCTATTCAACAGCCGGCAATGTGTCCACAGTTGAGAAAGCCGGAGACCACACCTCCTCAGAAAGAAGGAGGTAGGTGGCTGAAGGTGGTGGTTGGAGCCTCAAAGATTCATTTTACTTACACATTTCCACCTGTCCATGTGTCAGATCTAAGGCAATGGATAGAAAAATCATTCTTAAAAATCTTATGAGGGGGTGAAGGAATTAGGAAGGATCCAGTGGGGACCTGAAACTGTGGGGTAATGGATCAGGGGCAATTAATTTTATAAAACACAATGAATGAGAATGTAAGACACAGTGTGAATGAAGGCATGAAACACTGTATACAAATGAAAAAAGAAAAAACCAAAATCCTACCTCCACACAATCATGTAGTATTTTGTTAATACATGTGAATAATGGAAAAATATTTTGACCTCATAAACAATAGAAGAAAAAAAATGGAAGCAACTGGGGTACAGTTTAAAAAAAAATTCTATGTACTTGCGGACAAAAGAGCTAGTTTTAGTGTTTGGCCTTTCATCTTACCTCTTTCTGACCCTCAGATTTTCTATTGAGTTCATAATATAATAATGCCAAATAGTTATAGTAAGAATTAGATGAGAAATGAATCAATTAAGATAATTGTTGCTATAAAGCATTCTACCAAATAATTTTATGCATAAAGATAATGAATTTTATTGCCTATTTCTTTCTTTGACTGGTACGGGAGGAGATTATCCCTCCTTCTCCATCAGAGCATCTGTAGGATTCAAACTACAATCTTCTGGGATTGCAATGCAGCTTCTTGTCACTAGGCCAGCAGAGCTCCCTCCAAAGAGCTTTTGAGACTATATTTAGTAACTTTTACAAAATGCGGAAGCTTTGCTTGCATTTTCTGTCTGTCACCATAACTCGGTCTGACACACCACCATTGAATAGGAATG